GAGGGGGAGCCCAGCAAGAAACCTGGGCCTCTCCAGGAAAAGAGGGGCTGTGCTGGAGTAAGGGATCCGGGAAGAAAAGTTCCGGGTGGGGGCTCGAGGGGCCCCTCAGGCCTGGCCTGGCCCCCGAGCCTTGTCGTGCCAAAATGGCTGGGGCATCGCCTTGCATCCTTGGAGACATCGGGAGGCTGGGTTTCTGCCTGTGCTGGGAGCTGCCAGCCCCCGCCGGACAGGGAACCCCTGATTCGGAGCCTCTCCTGCCTGCGATCTTCTCCTCCCTGGCAGGAATGGGACCAAAGAGGGCAGGGACAGGGGCCACTCCGGGCCTGTGGAGTCAAGGGTAGGCCCGTGGAGGTTCGTCCAAAATTCCCACAGTTGCCAAGATCCGCTGTCCTGGTGGGAGGCTGCGGTCCGTGGAGGGAGCCTGGGAGGGCTCCTCAGGGAGGGGAAGGCACCGCTTTTGGCCGGTCCAGGGGCGAGGACTCCATTTTTTTCCCGCAACGTGGGGTCAGTGGAGAGGTCACAGCCTGGAAGCCAAAAGGTTCCCCCCGCCCCCAAGAAAACCCCAGGGGCCAAGGCAGCAGCAGGCTGCCAGGGGGAAGCACAGGTGACAGGACCACCTGTCGCTGGGCAAGAGGGGGAACCCCCCCAGCAGGTACCACCCAGGAACCTTCGTGTGCCTATGGCGTGGTCATGGACGTAGGGGCGGGCGGCAGGCCGTGAGGCAGGGTGGCTGTTGGTCACCTTTTGTTGTGTGTAGGAAAGCCCCTTTTGGCGTCGGTCGGGCGGCGAGTCGGCGGGACCCGGAGGCTGCGCCATGGTGCCAGGCGCCGCTGCCCCACCTCGGTGAGGCACCCAAAGTTAGGTGTGGTGCCGGGTCCAGAGGACGGAAAGGGGTCATTGTTGTAAAGTTGAAGGAGGGAACGGTGTCTGGATCCATTCAAGTGTCTGTGGACAAGGCGAGGGGGAAAGCGCGCAGAGGAGGAAGGAGCCCTCCTGGATGGCTCTTGCCTCCTCCTCCCTCCCCGACGCACGTTCCTCCGCGTGCCCCCCCCCTCCTTCCCTGTCGCCAATTCTTTAGGCGACCGCCGCGAACCTCCCCCGCTGACCCGCTTCGGGCGTCAGCTGGAGACTCACGGCAGCCCTGCGGGCGCGTGGTGTGCAAGCCGTATGTCAGGGTCTCCCCAGGTTCAGCTCGATCTGTGCTTAGCCCGTCGTCCCTGGGTGGAGCTGGTCTCCTTCCCGCACCATGCACCCGCTGTCCTGGCTCAGCTCTTCTCTCAATCCCGCTGGAGATGGACCCGGCTGGGGCGTCCTCCTGCACTGCAGGGTTAGTCGCGTACCACATTCCTCAGGGCGACAGCTGACCGGCGGCTGACGGGGACATCTCTGGGAGAGGAGAGCCTGCAGGACTTCCTTCTCGCGATAGAGTTCTAGGATTTGGACACATCCCTTTAGGGTGCCCGCCTGAGGTTCCAAAATGTGCTCTCCTCGGCTTGGGAAGGCGAGTGAGATGGACGAGGGAAGAAGAGAGGTTAAGAAGGACGAAGAGGGAGAGGAAGAGGAGGAGGAAGAGAGGCAGAATAGAAAGAAAGAGGAAAGGAAGGAAGAAAAAGAAAGAAGGAGAGGAAGGAAGGAGCAAGAAGGAGAGAAGGAAAGAAAGAAGAAACCCCCCGGGCGACAAAGACGCCGACGACGAACGAGAAGAGAAAGAGGGAGAAGGAAGTTTAAGGAAAAGAAAGAAGGAAAGGAAAGAAAGAGAGAGAAGAAAGAAGAGAAGAAGGAAATAAGAGAGAAAAAAAGAGCGGAAAGGAAGGAAGGAGAGGGAAAGAGAAGGAACGAAGGAAAAGAAAGACGGAAAGAAGGGAAGTTGTTGAAAGATAAAGAAGAAGGAAGAGAAGAAAAGAAAAGAAAGAAAGGAAGGAAAATGAAAGAGAAGAAGAGAAAGAAAGAAAAGAGAAAGGAAAGGAAGGAAGGGAAGGAAGGAAGGAAAAGAAAGAAAGAAAGGAAAGGAAAGGAGAGACCAAAACTGGGAACCTAGAGCAAGAGGCCAAGTCCAGAGAGAGGGTCAGGAGGAAAAGAGAGGCCCCAGGGGTTTGAGGATGAGAGGTGAGTGCTCATCAGAAAAGCTCGAAGAGGAGGCGAGGCACAGAGGTGCTCAGAGGGGCTTCCCATACCTGGGCCTGGATGCTGGGCTGCTGTCCATGTGCTTGTCTCTTCTCGGTTCCTGGTCTATGTCCTCCCGCTCCTGCGACTTGCTCAAGGCGTGGTGTTGAGATCTTCACCAATATTCTCTTAGGATTCGAGAGCCTTAATATATCATCAAAGCGACCTGGAAGCTGCTGAGTCAGTAATATCCGGCCCCACCCGTTCTCCAACTCAGGCCACACGTGTCAAAGAAAGACAGGAAGGAGGAAGGAGAAAGAAAGAAGGAAAGGGCCGGGCGCGGTGGCTCACGCCTGTAATCCCAGCACTTTGGGAGGCCGAGGCGGGCGGATCACAAGGTCAGGAGATCGAGACCACAGTGAAACCCCGTCTCTACTAAAAATACAAAAAAATTAGCCGGGCACGGTGGTGGGCGCCTGTAGTCCCAGCTACTCAGGAGGCTGAGGCAGGAGAATGGCGTGAACCCAGGAGGTGGAGCTTGCAGTGAGCCGAGATCGCGCCACTGCACTCCAGCCTGGGCAACAGCGCCAGACTCCGTCTCAAAAAAAAAAAAAAAAGAAAGAAGGAAAGAAAGAAAGAAAGAAAAGAAGGAAGGAAAAAGACAACGCTTTGCTCAGCATCCCTGGGGTGTCTCCTGCGTCTCCTGCCTCTGGGTCCTCAGCCTTGGGTTCCAGGGTCTCCCCAGCTCACCCACCCTGGGCATCAGAACAAGGAAGTTCTCTGCTATGCCTTCGGGCAAGCTTTGGTTTTGATGTGCCCACTCTGACAGCTGACCCACCAGACGCTGTGGAGTGACAATGGGGATGTAGACCCGGCCCCACTTTGCTCCCTTTGGGCTGCAGGAGTCTGGAAGGTGGGAGACCAGGGGGCAGGTGAGAGGACAGGTATCCACACCCTGGAGAAAGGCCCTGAATAACACTCAGCGCCCCAGAGAGCAGGCTCAAGGGCAGCCACCCCTATGTCTTCCCCTGCGGCCAGTGCAGGATGTGCCTGGTCCAGGCTCCCTGGCACCTGCTGCATCCTGGGCTGTCTGTTAGCATCCTGCGTCTTCTCTGACTGTGGAGATGGGAGATCAGCAGGTCCTGCATCCTCCTATGCATCAGTGTACCTAATAATTGTAAACTAGAGTGAGGAGTGTTTTCATCCCCATTATCCAGAGGAGATGCTAAAGGCTCTGAAAGGTACCTAGAGGTCCAGCCCCTCCCAGCAAACAGAGTCCCCAGCAGGGACACATCCCCCCTGAGAAGGGCCACTCTGTGCCCTTTCTCCCACCTCTGGGCCCTGCAGAAATGTGAGGGACACTGTGCTCCTGCCCCAAGTGAGTCCCTGAGTCCCGGCGGCAGGTCTGGTGCCATCCTTTCCCGGGTCCACCTGCTGCACGCAGCACAGCTGCCCCTAGAAGGTGCTGGCCTTGTGGGCCCGGGGGCTGCCTCTGTCCTGCCTAATCCCCTGTCCTGGCTCTCACTAGACCCCCCTGTCCTTGGCCAGCTGTCCCATGCAGGGGAGTCCACATCCTGGGGACAGTCCCACCCTGGCCACCCAGACCGAGCACAGCTCCTCACCCTCCCAGGCTGGCCAGTGCTCACTGAGGTGGAAACCTCAGAGGAAGGTGGGAGCGATCCTCCCTCCTCAGCAGTGTCCCTGTCATCTTGGTGGGCGCCACTCCTCATGGACAGGTCAGAGGAGGCTCTGTTCTCTGCTGTGAGGACCCCTCCAATTCTGTCTCCCGATGTTGGACTCCTCTAGTCAAGAAGATGTCCCCTGGGGGCTGTCAACTCCCATTTGAGTGTCGGGTGGTTCCAGTGTGAGCTCATCTTGGTGTGTTGTGTGAGTCTGACCAGAGACCACCCTTCCCAGTTCCCACTCGAGGCACACAGAGTGGGACGCCCCACGGTACCCACAGCCCGCCTGGGCAGAGACCACACCTGTACCAAGTTTGGGGTTTCCAGACATAGATGGGTTGTGGTCCTTGCTCATGTTCCCCCACAGGCTTGTCCTTCCTTGGTGGTGTCATCTCAATCCAGCCAGCTCTACTCTCAGCCCCAATTACTTCCTGTGCCCTGTGGGACTGTGGGAGGACCCAACCCTACCCCAACCCTTTCCGGTGGCTCCTGCTGCCCAGAGTGATGGCCTTTCCCCTGGCTTAACCTGCATCAAATGCCCCTGGAGCAAATACAGCCCTGGACCCACGGCCAGGACAGCCCACACATGAGCTTTCAACGGGGAGACCCGGGACAGCTGCATCACGGGACAACGCTTTGCTCAGCATCCCTGGGGCGTCTGCTGCGTCTCCTGCCTCTGGGTCCTCAGCCTTGGGTTCCAGGGTCTCCCCAGCTCACCCACCCTGGGCACATCCTCCTCCCTGCTGCTCCTGCCAGCCCAGGCCCCACTGGACTCACGACTGCCCCATGCCTGCTCCCCTCTCTGATCCAGACAGGTCTGGATCTTCCAGAATGTCTCCAAATCTGTAAGATCCACTTTATGGTCCATCACAGAAACAGGCATGTTGTCTATTTCTCCTTCTAGTTTTACAAACCAGGAAGGTTGGACTGTCAGCACACCTGTACATCTGTGAACCTTCTCATTTGATGACAAAGATGGCCTCAGACTAAAATGTTCAAAGCAAATTGGGGCCCAGGTACTGTCCAGAGTTCAGTTCTCAGTAACTCACTGTACAAGCCATGCACCCAGGCAGGGCTCCAGAGAGGAGAGAAGAGAGGGTGTTGGGGGGTCCCTACCAGCAGAGAGGGAGGCCAGGACCCTCCCTGGCCAAGGGTGGACAGAGGGAGCCACTGGTTGGGCATCTGCTGCCCAGACATGAGTGGGGAACAGTTTCACTCTAGCCCCCGGACCCAGGAACTTCCATAAGGGCTACAACCTGGAACCTCTCAGTGAGCTCCCCAGAGACTTACGTGCCCCACCCCCTGTCAGTGCCCGCACCAACCACACCCACATCCTTCTGTGCACTAGGGCCTGACTCTCTCCGGGCAGGAATGTCCCAGACACAACTGGCCCCTTCCTGGTACCCCTGTAGCCGGGGCAGAGCGGGTCTGTAAGGCGACAGGGGAACCCAGGGGTGGTTAAGAGTTTGCACCTTTCCTAGGCCAACTGTGAGGAAGACGGAAGGAGACTCCACCCTTTCCTGGGGAAGGACAGCCCCCTCCCCCATTTCTGTCCCTGGAACGCTGGCTGAACAATCAATGTGATAAATGTGAAAATGTGATAAAATACCAGGTCTTGCTGGAGTTTCCACGGGAGCCTGGGGAAGTTCTAAGGGGAGAGGAAGAAGCTGGATCCCCAAGGGAGAGACAGGAGAACGGCCTCCCTAACAGGTGCAAGCTTCCCTGGGATTTGCCCAGGTCCCGTATAAGGAAAACTGGGGATAGGGCAAGTGCCCCACAGGGGTCCACACTGGGTGAGAGGGACAGACCAGGGCAGAGGGACCCTGAAGCAGCCCCTGATGGCTGGGCCACTCAGCTCATGTCACCCTGGGACGAGAACAGAGGTCCCGCTCGGGTCTGGAGTCCATGCTGCTGTGTACGAGGTCCCGGCTCTGCCACCGCTGTGGGGCCCCGTCTCCCTACAGCCCAGAGGAACCACAGGCTGCCAGTTCCTAGTCCAGGTCTCAGCAGTCTCATGGGGCTGTGTCCAGTCCCCTCCCCTGGACCCACAGGGCTCCCAGGTCATAGGCAAAGCTCTGAGATGAGACCCACGGAAGCTGGGAGTCTGAGGAGCTCGGGACAGAAAGGACTCCCTGCTTCTGTGCACCGCCCCCAACAGAGTGACATGACAAGAAGACCCTTCCTTGGGATACCCCAGACACACCCAGATGCCCACTTCAACACTGTCCATGGAGCAGGGTGAAGGGACAACCTCAGTGTCCACCTGCTCCTCTGGTTTTGATTCTGGGCCCTGACAACAGCCCTGCCCTCCTCATCCTAGAAGCAAGTGATCAAAACAGCCAAAGGATCTCTCCAGGCAAAGGGGCCAAGCTGGGGGCAGACAGAGGGTGGGGGGGAAGGGAGGTGGAGGGGTGGCTGCACCTGCCCTTGGACAGGGGACAGTGCTCTCCTCCCAGGGTGGGGCCCTCTGTCCCCCGTGCCCCCACTGGGGTGGCCTCTTTGACCAGAGTGACTACACGCTGTCCATTTTTCGGCCACTTGCTTCAAGGGGTGGAGCTGGGGCTGCTGTCAGAACCCAGAAATGAAAACGAAATGATCGGGGTTGATGACGTGGCTTCCCTATCACTCTTCCCGGTAAGAATTGCTGCAATCCTCTGACTTGGGGCAGAGCTGAGGTAGACATCTGGGTGTGTCTGGGAAACCCTGGGGAAGGTTCCTTTCTGTCCCGTCGCTGTCTGTGTGTACTTGTGTGTCTGCGTCTTTGCCACCAGAAGGGGTTGGGCCTGTTTGCTCATGAGCAGCTGTCGAGGAGGCCCACTGTGTGCCACATACGCGGCTCCTGAGGTCCTGAGGTGAAAGCCACACTGTATCCACCACCCCGCGGGGCAGAGGAGGAGCCCAGAGGAGGAGGAGGGGCGTCCCGCCTCGTGGAAGGCCAGGAATCGGAGAGACCAGTGTCCCTTGTGCTGGGGTGGCACAGTGGGGTCCCTCTCTCCCTCCCCCACCCCCACACTCCTGGTCAGCCTCCTCCTGCTCCAGCCCTGGCTGCCAGAGCCAGCCCCCTACCTTCTCTATGGGGTGGGATGCTGGTGAGCCACATATTCCCGGGAGGACCCTCAGCACAGAGTGAGCCCTGGACGGTAGATACATGTGATTGACATCACTCATTTCACCAGCCCATCTGCTCCCTCCCTTCCTGATGCAGGCAGCCAGAGAGGGGCAGAGACACAGACATTCCAGGAGGGAAAACCTTCTAGAAGAACCTACTTGACATGCCTGGTATCCTTGGCTCCCAGACAAGTCTGGACTACCGATCCCCCATGGTAGAAAGGGCCCTTCCACGAGATACTCCCAGACACAGCCAGATGCCCCATAGAGAAGGCAGTGGGCAGGTCCTCGTGGTCCTGGCCCCACCCAGTCCTCCTAGGGAAGCACCCACAGCTGTTTCTGCTCCTTGGCCGCCGACACCCCAGTGGCATCCCCGGAGGGCCTGGGCTGCCCCTGCACGGTGAGCTCCGGGCCAGTGAGAGCTGGGGGCCCTGCTCTCGGCACCACCCTCCTCCAGGGATGGAGACCCAGGCCTTGGTTCTGTGAGCTCCTAGATCTGTTTCTGGATGCAGCTCAGCTCCCTCTGCTGTGCACACAGTAAGTGCCCAGCATGTGCGCCATGGCTCAAGTTGGGGATGTAGGAGTCTGAGCTGGGAGGAAGGGCCTGGCTTACACCTCTGGCTCTGGATGGAGAGGGCACCAAGCTCATAGTGTCACTCGTGTCACTTGGCCGTTCATTCATGCTGGGCAGAGGTTCTCTCGCAGGCTCCTGTGTTTACCGCATGGTGTCTTCCGCTGTGCAGAAATTTCAAATATAACCCAGTCAAATATATCAGGCTGTCTTCCCTGGGGCTCACACCTAAGGTCATGGCTGCTCCGCCCTTCCTAAGTGTAAAAATTCTTACCTGTCTCTCCACTGTATGTCGCTTCTCCAGGGAAGACTCCATGCCCGCCTCGTGGAAACACCTGGAGCAGAAAAAGCAGCATCCCCGTGGCAGGGAGGCCTGAGGGCCGTAGTGTTTGGCATTGTGTGCCTTGTTTATGCCAGTTTTCTCAACCACAAGATTACAAAAGTGTTTTCCTGTATTTCGTCCTATCCTCTTGCATAGGTAAATATGCATGTGTGAGACAACACATGTACACACACACACGCACACGCGCACACACACACATGCACATGCACACACATGCACACATATACACGCACACACATATGCACACACATGCACATACACACATGCACATTCACACACATGCACATACACACACGCACATGCACACACACGGACATGCACACACACATGCACACATGCACAGACACATGCGCACACACACACATGCACACACATGCACAGACATGCACACACGCACACACACATGTGCACACACGCACACACACATGCGCACACGCGCATGCACACACAGAATGCACACACACGCACACACACAGGCACACACCACCACACATTTGTTGAGCCAAGTGGGTAATGTTCCGTCAAGTGCACCAAGCTGGCTTCTTCCTCAGGGCTTTTGTGCCTGTGAATGGGTGCCTTTTCATGGGCTGAGCTCAGCTTCTCCCATGACAGCCCATGTGTCTGCCTCCCTCCCAGGCACAGAGCAGGAGCAGCAGCCCTGCCCTTCTCACTGGGCAAGCGTTCTGTGCACAGATAGGTGTTCAATATTGGATGAATAATTCATACTAACATTCCCTGTTCAACCCACCAAGTGTAAACTGCTGGGGTCTCCCAGTATTCCTTGGGAGACACTGTAGAATTCACGGGTCACCCAGGGCGGGTGAAAGCTTGCTTTTCTTTGTCCTCTTCAGCCACTGTCCTTGCCAATGCCCACTCTTCCAATGCCAGCATGAAGGCCCCAGTGAGTGCCCTAGAGGGGCAGGACACCAGTTGAAGCTCTTTTTTGTAAAGTCTGTTTACACTGCAGCAATCCACAACCGTGAGCTTCACCCGATTCTCCTTACTAGTGAGGAAGTACATGGGTGGCCCAGAAATAAAGAATTTACACAGGCACTCTCTAGTGAGATTTTATAAATTGCTACTCTTAGGTAATGTGACCTTCCTCGATGACTCCCTAGTGGGCAAGAATGTCACCACTTTGCATTGTGTAATTTGCCAGAACCCAGCCCATGTCCAGTACAAAGGGTGAAATTTTTCCTTGTGGCTTTAGTTTCCTTCTGAGCCCCCATCCACCCTCCTACACACGCTCTTCTACACACACCCTCCTACACACACACGCTTTATAATTATATCGAGACTTTGTACAGCCCGAGCACACTCTTCTGATTGCTATAGCTTTAAGATAGTATTGACTTCTTTTTTTTGAGACAGAGTCTTGTTCTGTCACCCAGGCTGAAGTGCAGTGGTGTGATCTCGGCTCACTGCAACCTCTGCCTCCTGGGTTCAAACGATTCTCCTGCCTCAGCCTCCTGAGTAGCTCGGACTACAGGTATGTGCTACCACACCCAGCTGATTTTTGTATCTTTAGTAGAGATGGGGTTTCACCATGTTGACCAGGCTGGTCTTGAACTCCTGACCTCAGGTGATCTGCCTGCCTCAGCCTCCCAAAGTGTGAGCCACCGTGCCCAGCCATGTATTGACGTTTTCTACCTCAACTCTCCTTATCTTTCGTAGTTTTCGAAATCAGATGAGTGGATCAAAGTCCTATGAATGCAATGACCAGCTTGTCAGGTTACAGTAAAGTCCTATCAACATTTTTAATGTGATTGCACTCATTTATAGATTAGTGGGGTAGATGATTGATACTGGCAACCTCAAGCCTACATTTATAATTACATTGAGACTTCCATCAAAGGCTGGGCACACTGTGGGAGCTTAAGGAAGGACAGTGTGCTTCCTGTCCTGGCACATCATGGCAGCCAGGCTTGGAGGGTCCCCAGAGGAGCCTTCACCACCCCCATGTGACGCCCTGCCCTTTGCTTGTGACTCTGGGTTTGACAACAGCCCTGACTCCACTCATTGGAAGTAAGTGATGAAAATTGTGCGGTCATTCTGGGCAAAGAGGCCAGTGTAGGGGAGGCAAGAGGGGCTTACCCTGGTGAAAGAACCCCACAGTTAGTCATGTCACAGGGCAGGTCCCAGGGAGACCTGACCACCGTCCCCCAGAACCCCACCTTCCAAGGGCCCAGGCCCCCTGTCCCCTGGGGCTTCACTCACAGCTTGGCCACAACCTCTTTCTTTCTCCCTGGGATGTGGCCCAGTGCCTGGAGATGGCCAGCCATCCCTCTGGGGGCCACCAGGTGACCAGCAGGAGAGCCGCGTCTGCAGGAGCAGATGTGGGGGCAGAGCCTGGATCCTGAGCATGGCCATGGGCCTGAGTCTTGTTGTGTGTAGTGACGGAACCCTACTCTCAGTCCCTCGGGCAGCTGTGATGGTCCCCACAGTCACAGACCTCCCTCCAGCGCCCTCTGTTCCCACGCCCCTGTCCTCCTGGCTCCTTCGTGTCCTCTGCCTCCCGTCCTCCCGCAGTTGCCTGCAGCCCTGCCCGCCCCTATCCTCCCTCCTCTCTTCTCCTTTCTTTCCATGTCTCCATGGATCTCAGGGTCTGCTAGCTCTTCCCTTCGGGCCTACATGGCTGCAGGACTTCTTCCTGCCCTCCTGCGCCATCCCCTCTCCCTGCTTCTCCTAATCCCCTCCACTAAATAATTATTTTCCTCCAGGCCCATACAGTCACTGTCAACATTGTGGCGCAGTTTGGCCCCAGATTTGTGAGCAGAAGTTTGCTGAGGGGAGACCTGCAGAAGGCTGCCCTTTCTGGACAATCTTGTCTTCCAGGGTGACCAGGGCCGGAAGGCTGGACCCAGGGGCTTCAGGCTCTGCAGATGGAAAGGCAAGAGAGAGCCAGTGCCCGCCATGGCTGAGATTGGGAGGAGGGGGCTGCTGTCCAGGGGCAGAGTCCATCCTCCATGTGGAACCCCTCCCTCCTGGGCTCTCTCTCTAGGGGGTGGAATCGGGAAGGGGGTGGGGACAGGGCTGCTCCCAAGGCCCCCTGACTACACATATGTGGCTCCTTTCCAACAGGGAGACTCGCTGCTGGCTCTCCTATTGCCTGGCCTGTCCCTTCGGACCAGGGCTGGCCAGCAGGAGGGAGCTCTGCGAGTGAGGCCAGAGTTTGAATTCAGGTGCTTGTCCCGGAAGGGTTAGCTGTGTTTTCTCATCCCAGAAGGAGTTAGTGTGACTCTTGCCCTACATGAAGGTCCACTCCAAAAGGAATGACATTTATTCATTTCCTACTGTTTATTTACACACTTGCAATTCGTGGTGCAATTACCTAACAAATTATGGAATATTCTTCACACTTTATTTTAGAAGTGTAGCTTTGAAACCAATTAAAATAATCATTTCATTAATAAATTGAAAACTATTCCCAGAGTATTAACCATCATCTTATAATTTAATGCTTGAAATATAATTTTTTTTTTGAGACAAAGTCCCGCTCTGTCACCCAGGCTGGAGTACAGTGGCACGATCTCAGCTCACTGCAACCTCCACCTCCCGGGTTCAAGTGATTCTCCTGCTTCAGCTTCCTGAGTAGCTGGAATTACAGGCACATGCCACCACGCCCGGCTGATTTTCGTATGTTTAATAGAGATGGGGTTTCACCATGTTGGTCAGGCTGGTCTTGAACTTCTGACCTCAGGTGATCCACTTGCCTTGGCCTCTCAAAGTGCTGGGATTACAGGAATGAGCCACCGTGCCCGGCCAAAACGTAAGATACATTTTTTTTTTTTTTAGACGGAGTCTCGCTCTGTCGCCCAGGCTGGAGTGCAGTGGCTGGATCTCAGCTCACTGCAAGGTCCGCCTCCGAGTTTACGCCATTCTCCTGCCTCAGTCTCCCGAGTAGCTGGGACTACAGGCGCCTGCCACCTCGCCCGGCTAGTTTTTTGTATTTTTTAGTAGAGACGGGGTTTCACTGTGTTAGCCAGGATGGTCTCGATCTCCTGACCTCCTGATCTGCCCATCTCAGCCTCCCAAAGTGCTGGGATTACAGGCTTGAGCCACCGCGCCCAACCAAGACACATTTTTAATTAAAAGTAATTCACTCTGATTTTTTAAAAAATCTACTTGTCAGGAGCGCCTTGCTTTGCTGGTGTCTGTGAGCGGCTGGAGATGGTGGTGAACGGCCTGTTTGCATTTCTTGGAAGAAGATCTTTTATTCTGCTGCTCAACCCAGGTCTTTGCCTTCCTTAGAGACTGAGGCTCATCCTTCAGTTTCCCTGATTCTGGAAGAGCGGGGGTGTTGAATGGAACAGGAGGTGAAAGAGTGGAAAGAGGGCACAGGGAGGAGGCCTGGGGACAGTGACAATGATGGGAGAGGAGGGAGGGATGCAGGAAGTGGGAGAGAGAGGGAGGTTGTGAGGAGTTGGGGGCAAACCCAGGGATCTTGCTGGCAGAATCTTGTTTAATTTTCACCCCATCCCCCTAGGTGAGCAACTCTCATTACCCCCAACTTCCAGATGTGGATCCTGAGGCTCAGGCAGGGTATGTCCCCTGGCTAAGGACACACAGGAGGAAGTGGCAAGAGGCATAGTAGGCCCCTCACCCACCTCTGGGCTCCCTCTCTAGGGGGGTGGGATCAGGAAGGGATGGGGACAGGGCTGCTCCCAAGTCCCCCTGACTGCACATGTGTGGCCCCTTTCCAACAGGCCCCTTTCTCACTGCTGGCTCTCCTCTTATTGCCTGGGCTGTCCCTTCTGACTGGGGCTGGCCAGCAGTGGGGAGCTCTGTGAGTGATGACAGAGTTTGAATTCAGGTGCTTGTCCTTCAGCTGCACCCTCAGCCCCTTCTGTGCAGCTTCCCAGATAGATGCCTGTCTGGACAGCCCCAGCGCCTCCCTCCCAGGCTCTGTCCTCCCTGACTGTGCTGTCAGGTGATGCGTTTGCCCTGTCAAGATCTTTCTGGCAATTGATCATTTCTAGCCTCATACCTTGCCTGGGAAGTAGGGTCACTGTGGCATTTTTCATCTGAACCAGGA